GGAACAGACAATAAAACCGGGGACATTACTTAAGAGAAAATCAAGGACAAGATTAAAAAAAGAAAAGGATATAATAGTTAAAGACATGCCTATTCAGTAAGAAAAGTGCTCAACCCCTAGATTACCTAGACAAACCAAAGAACAATTCACAGTGTTATCTCCTGTCAATGCGGAGCCAGATTCGCTACCCGAGTTTCAGGTTCTCGCAATATTCCAACGACTAGATCTAGATACATTGTGCGATGTTTAAAATGTCAAGATTTTATGATTATAATTCCGCGCATGTAAGAAAAAGTGCACTATGACGCAACCCACTCCGCCATAAATTTAGAAAAGGCATGCTGTACAGCTTGACATTCGCATCGGAAGCTCTAATCCAAATATTTCAAAGTGTTTACGTGTTAATCTGAGGAATGTGCAGATAATTCGGAAAATGTTGAATGAGTCTAATGGTGATTACGAAGACGATTGGAGTGATCACTAATCATAACGAAGTTATGCCTCCATTTCTCTACCCACAGGGGCTCAACACGGTGGTCTACAGCAAGTACCGTGAGGAGATAGTGCTGCCCTGAGTAAAGGTGGTTGCTGGACTCTGCACAATGCCACACAAGTAGGAGTATCCAGTCACGGCTTTCAGATAAATTCTGCCACCATATCACCACATGCATTTGGCCAATTACTTCTCGAGACTGCTACACCCTTGATTATTATGTTAGCGGCACATTTGAGAGAATGACCAACAATTATCCTTGTAACGGCAAAGATGGGCAAGGCAAGGATTATGGCTGCATTTCAAAACTTAAAAAGGAGACTGTTCAGAAGTGTTGTAGGAGATTCCGAAGATTCTGGATTCCATGATTGAAGCCACTGGAAATTTTAGTGAATAAATTTACTTAAAAAGTAAATTTATTCAATAAAATTGCCAATGGCTTCAATCAGTTTCAAGATATGTTTGTGTAATTTTAGTAAATATATCTGTTTAAATGTAGGCAAGGTCGAATTTATTTGACTACCGAACGCTCCTTTGTGGCCGAGACGGTAAGGCACGTCAGCGTAAATGACGGTTCCGTATAGGATGCAGGTTCGAATCCTGTCAAAGGACAAATATTTTCTATGAAAATTTCTCGGACATTCAGGCCGGTAAATGTTATTTAATACTGTTTATTATAAACAGAGCATTTACTTAAATACTTGTATCTATAAAAAGAACGTTAAACATAAAAAATGTTTAATATATATATATATATATATATATATATATATATATATATATAATTGCAGTAAATACTATATATATAGTACTTGGTAGGTATTTAATTCCGAGTATTTACTGCAATATTTTCAGCGTAATGCACTTTATCATCCAAAATCATTACGCCTGTGAATAAACATCAGAATATTTATTTTAGGAAGAGGGTCGACCTGTCAATGTTCTGCATCACCTGCTACCTATAATACTGTCTATTCGAGTCTGTTCCCGTGCAACGATTGTTAATCAAGTGAGTTTCGTAAGTCATTGCGTTTGAATTCGATTTTCTCTGCGTGTGTATATTATTGTCTTATCGTCTGTGTCAATCAGCATTGTCGCTGGTTGTAGTGAAATAAATAGCCATTTTGAAGCACAATTCTCTGAAAATTCTAACTCGACTCAAACACAACTTATTAGGCTACAAAAAAGCTATTACCATTAGGACAGTAATCAAGAAAACAGTAGATAAAGATTAACATTGCATTTCATTTTCGAAGATCAATGATTACTGAAAAGCATGCAGCCAGAAGAGAGTTCGACTATCGTGTATTGTGAGAAAAGATAATGTTCGGAATGAGAATTGACGAGAAATTTCCGACAATCTAGTAATGAGTTTAAATTAATAAGGTCTTGCTACTTTTGCGATGAGTTTGAATGCATTTAAACACATGGAAGCTGCATTACATCAATGAAAAATTAATTAAAGACGAGATGCCATTGTCAACTTGAGTAATCAGTTTACAGCTGTCCGAGAAGCCGTGCGACTATAGCGCCAAAAAAATGTGGTAGTTCATGGTTTGATACATCAAACATCCGGAACAGTTGCCAGGTATATGTCGCAGCTATAATTCCATTGCCGCTGTACCAAACACCGATGCAGCTGCGAATTATCCAGTTTAATTTTTGAATAGCCTAACACCAGCAGGCCTTCCACATGACAATTTGCACATCAAGATTAGTGCACCAGTGATCATGCTAAGAAACATGTATCCACCGAAGCTTTACAAGAGCACACGACTTACAATTAAGAAGATGATGGCAACAGTCTTTAGGGCAAGAATTCTGAATGGCAAAACAAGTATTGAGGCTGACATTTTTCCAAAGATTTCATTTTCCCTTTCTAGTTCAAGCAGCTGCAATTCACAGTGAAACTGTATTTTGCAATCAGCATTAACAATGTTCATATCTGAGAGCAATATTATAATCATGGACGAATGGTAGACTTATAAATATATAAGATAGATTATGTGCCAAATTTCTTAGCAGGAGACCTTGCAATCCATTCAATATACACTTCCCAATTCAAGATGGCAGACAGGAAAGGGTTCTTCCAGATGACTGCACCTAATTCACTGCCATAAAGACTGATTTAAATTACATGGCATTTCAGTAATCTTTTTTTTGTCCGTAACATTATGTTCTTATTTCTTATTACTTTGTTTAGTTTTTTTAAAAAAAAGATCTTTTGCTATTCCAATGTGTCGTCCATTTATCAATGTCACATATTCCGTCATTTGTTAAATAACTTCTCGAATAATTAAAATTCTATACTTGCCGTTTTTCTTCATTTCACCTCAAGGAACTCTATAAGAACTCTACGAACCAAAAAACTACGGATCATTATGAGAGAAAAAAAAACAGAATTAAGGAGAGAGAACAATAGAAGAAGAGAAATTAAGAAGACAGAAGTTAACGATTGACATTGAATTTTAATTTTTGAAGGTCAAATTTGACGGGAAAGCAATAAGACGGAAGAGAGTTCCACAACTGAGAAATGCGACAGAAGAAACTATGAGCATACGGTTGCAACTAGATATTTAAACTGTAAAACGATTGAACCTTGTCGCCAACCTCTTACTGCGCTTAAATTCATAAAGTCTAGGTACCATAGAGGAAAGTTCATCCGAATAATTACCATGAAATTATTTATAGGGAAAGTAAAGAGAAGCGACGTTACGGTGATGAAGAAGTGACTGAAATAAGAGATGTTAAGTCAAGACCTATATCAGTGCAGATTTTTCTATGGATTTTGTAAAGAATATCACATTTTCTAGCAGGGTCTCCAGATCAGATGTTACAGAAATATTCACTCATTTGAATCTGAAATTCGTCCATCCCGACCTCGCAGCGTGGGGCATAGTTCATGTTAATAACTATACAATGTCTTTTTTACAATTGATAGTTTAGTTTTCTTTCATTTCCCTTTAATTCCCTCATTAGCATTTCCTTCTTTCTGTATCTGTTGTCAGTACGGTGTCATCTGTTCTTACCTACTGTCTTTAAACCTGGTAAGATTTTTTGTTCTTTTAGGATAGCGTCGCTGAGTGGAATTCTGATAATATATAGCAATAAATGCATTACTTTTTGAAACGAGGTTTCTGATAGCAACTTGGGAAAGACAACTCAAGGAATATCAAACAATCCATTACGTAGCAGTTGCTTTATTATCTTCATTTTTCCGCCTCTCATCTTCCTTCTTTTGCACGGGTTCAAACAACGTTTGTTCCCAACTGATGTGCCTTTATGTCTAGTTGGGCGATCAAAGATGTCCTCAAATTATAATTTTGAAGTAACGATTTGCAGCTGTAATTAAACTCACCGTAGCTTTGTTTCAAACGACTCGTGATCTAAACCCACCTACCTTCATAGCCAAAGAAATATTAAGGCCAGGTTCAATATCAGTCGTACAGTTGTCGAGCTTTCAAGACAGAATGATGCTGTTGACTTTCTGTCGAGGCACCTTTTCGGAGGTGGATGCAATTATTTTGAGGATAGATGTATCAGGCATGCTCAGATCAAGGGTGTTCCCAAAAGAGGGACTCAATGTATTTTGCAAACAAATATGAAGTCTTGGAAATGTGGGGTGTGAGACCGAAAACTGTTGTCGAGGGTAAGTTATGCAAATCATTTGAAAGGACATCAGGACGACCAGAATCAAGTCATTTATGACAATCTGACTCAACGTCCTGCCGACAATGTCTGTTTTGTTTGCAACAAGCTTTCCAGACGATAATTTAAACTCGGGCGGCTTGTCTGTACTGGTGTTACACAGGATCGTTGTAAGGCATGCAGATCCAATCAATCCAAACAAGGATACAGAGCTTATCTGTCAATTGTACCTGAGACCTATGGATTCGAATGACGGTCTCAAGAGACATCTTGGGACCAGGGACGCCATAACAAGACGGAAGTCATCACAAGTGATGCGGATGGTGAGGGAATGAATCTCACCTGAATAAGGTCTGGCAATCACCTTCTATCGATATATTTATCTGATAGAAAAATCGCTCTAGAAACAGAAGCTTAGAACTATTTAAGCAACAGTGTCTCCGCCAGATTTACTTCACGGATCTTCAAATGGAGTAACTCTACCAGAATAGGAATAGCTGGTACTTTAGTATCTTCGGGATGAAGGGTGATAGCATCTCTAAGCATTTTTTTTACATTGAGTTGACTGAGGACAAAAGAGCAGTTAAAATTCAAAACTCCGATATAAAGATCGCATCAGGAATAGACAGAAGAAAGCCATCTACGTGCAAAATCACTGCGAAAACTAACTTCTAGATAGTTCATCATGGAGCAAAGTTGTACAATGCTAACAAGCAGTAAGAAAAAGTCAAGGGAAATGCTGGTATATGCTTTGGTTTAAAGTTAATATGACAGTTACTGCGTATTTCTAAATAGGATTGCTCTCAAAATCATCCCAGACAGACCATTTATACCCTACAAAGTTACAGAGCAATTCTAAATGCGCCCAAGATGGTGAACGAATTCGCCATATGAGGGTTCATTGAAATGCTGCTGCAAAATTGTCAAATCAGGTTATGAAATTATGGGTAAATTTCCCCAACTAAACCAAGCGATAGGAATTCTCTAAACCGTGTTCCATCTATCTATCTATCTATCTATCTATCTATCTATCTATCTATCTATCTATCTGTTAATATGAATGTATGTATGTATCTATCTCAGTCTGTTCATATATCTATCTATCTATCTATCTATCTATCTATCTATCTATTGCAGTTTTTGCATGTCCATCTGTCACAGTGTGTTGATATCTATCTATCTTTCACAGTTTGTTCTTTTCTATATATCTATCTATATATCTATCTATCGAAGTTTGTGCATATCTGTCAGTTTGTTCATATCTATCTATCTATCACAGTTTTTTTCTATATATCTATCTATCGTAGTTTGTGCATATCTATCTGTCACAGTATGTTTATATCTAACTATCTGTCTATCTATCTGTTACAGTTTTTTTCATATCTATCTATCTATCTACCTATCTATCTATCTATCTATCACAGTTTTTTCATATCTATCTATCTATCTATCTATCTATCTATCCCTGATCGTATCTTTTTACTTCGTATGCAGTCCACTGTTTCATTCAAAATACACTTTCTAAATAATTATATCGGCACACTTTTTTAAACGTTTATTTTGTCTTTTAAACAGAAGCTAAAAATAAGAAACAGTTATAAAAAGCAATGGGAAACTGATTTTATGAAAAATATCGAGAAGTGATTAAAACTTTCTTCTTGAGGCTAATTTCTATTGTCACGGTTTTTAAGGACGTATTGTTTCTATCGGCAAATCATTTTACTCGATGGTTTTTCGAAAATAAAATAAAAATAATGATTTCTTCGTAGCTTTCCTCTTTTTCTTCTGCGTCATTATCAATCATTTTCTTTGGTGATTCTTTAATGTAGAGACAATATGTCTAATCGTTTCGTTTAATCGTTTAACCTTGCCAAGGTGATCAAGAATCAATGATAAATATATCTTATCAATTTGCAACCGTTTACTAAAAAAAAGTAGCGTAACCCCCCATGTATAATACGACTTTATCTATAATACGCACCCTAAAATTGTGCTGAATATGTGAGAAGATGCTCCTACTCACGCATAAAAAAACAAACTCTATAAATTGTACCTCTCAAATTTCATTATGGCCATCGTTTTCTACTCTTATTCAAGCTGTAATTGAAGATATTTATGAAAATGTACGATCATCATGTTTTTAAAAGGAAACGGAAATACCTGTATTGTGCCTACTGCGCAGGCTCATTAATCTGTTTTTGTTCGATAAAATGTGCAATCTACCGCTTCTGTATGTAGTTTTTCGCAAAAAAATGTTTTTAAACATACAATGTTATTCTAATTTAGTTCTCTGATAATTCTTATTTTCTTTTATATTTATAAGTATTGTTAGGCACATATGATTGTATTTGACATCCTTATGGGGGCCACAGTCGCCGAATGTTTGTGTCAAATTGTTGTATGTTTGTGGTGAGTAATCATTTCGCAACTGAAATCGACCTATGAAACAGCAATTTTTTAAAGATTTTTTTGTAGCTGTGAATAATACGCACCCCGAATTTTGCTTATAATTTTTTAGAAAAATATGGGTAATATACATAGGGAATTACGGTATTACATGAAAATATAACGTTATAAATAAAGAAAGAACAAAACCACGAAACTTAGACATGAATTAAATTTTAAGAGTTAATTTGAAAAAAAAATATTAAAAATAAAATTAAAACACACCCGAATAAAATAAAAAAATGATGTAAAACATTTGAAATAAAAATTAAAGAAATTAAACGGAAGAGAGAATAGAAAACAGATAAGATAAAAATAATATGGAAAAGAAAATTTTGGGTTGGTGCATAATTATCAGGCGTTTTTTTAACAATATTTATTATGAAAACAGAAACGTTACAACTCCCTATAAAACTTTTTAAATGAGTATGATTATCTATACTCATTTTTCTAACCTGAAATTAAAATATTTATATTAAAAAAAGAAAGGAAAAAAACAATTTTTATTAACAAATAACTCACATAAAAAACGCCTGATAATTATGCACCAAGGCAATATATTTTCAATGTTTATTTTTAAAGCATAGCTTAGATCTGGCACAACGCCGACTATATGTGCCACCCAGTGAGGATTGTATTCACTATTCAGTCATTATTGAACCAACGATATAAAAATTATAACCATTAAACTATGTCGAATTGATCAAATAGATTTTAAGTGAATCGCTATTAAGAATATATTAAAAGAAAGAAATGGCCTATTGCCTTCATCTTTGTTGCCATATTTATTACAACGTTTATTCTTCAGGTGCTTGGAATGTTGAACTGAACCCTTTATTTTACTGACTTGTGTAAACTGTTCTAGTTCCACATGCTATGTATAATGGATGTCAGTTATCAGTTATCTCCTGTTAATTTCCCTCTCCAAGTTCTCCACTGACTTGACCGGGTATTGAACTAACACTGGATCTAACCAACGCCTTTTATCCACTGTGCCGTGTGTCCTTGAGGACATCTGTGTATGAATTTCTGGGTATTATAAACCTAATGTCTCAGCAACGATTTTTCACCAGTGCTCATATTGCAATTTTTCCCTTTTATCATTGCATGTTTTTAAACATGGCACGTGGAGTAGAACAGTCTACCCCAGAGAACGAAATAAAGCGTTCAGTTCGATATTCCAACCACCTGAAGAAGGCCGGAGCATACAAAGGCTGAAACGTTGTAATAAACATGGGGACAAAGATGGGGACAATCGTCCGAATAATGTAAATAGTGTACATAATACCTCATCTCAGAAATATAGACAGATGCTGAAAGGCAGAAACGTTGTAATAAATATGGCAACAAACATGAGGACATTAGTCCGAATAATGTAAATAGTGTAAATAATACCACATCTCAGAAATAAAGACAGATACTGAAGAAGGACGGAGCGTAAAACAGCCGAAACGTTGTAATAAATATGGCAACAAAGATGAGGACAATAGTCCGAATAATGTAAATAGTGTACGTAATACCGCATCTCAGAAATATAGACAAATAAGAAAAAAAAGGAAAAGAAAAACAGAAAGCAAATGAGAAGATGACGATGCAACAGAAAGTGAAGGTTCAGCATTATGACTGAGTAGTGAGTTTGATCACACCGTGTGCCCCATATAATATTCGATATTAAATAAATAAACAAAAAGAGAGGATAAAGGAAATAATCGCTTGGAAACTGACCGCATAAAAAAATAAATAAAAATATTTTCTGTTTTCTGAATTATATAATATCTGTGTTTTGTTTTCTGTATTATATAATATCTGTGTTTTCTGTTTTCTGTATTATATAGTGTCTATGTTTTCTGTTTTCTGTATTATATAGTGTCTATGTTTTCTGTTTTCTGTATTATATAATATCTGTGTTTTCTGTTTTGTATTATATAGTGTCTCTGTTTTCTGTTTTCTGTATAATATGTAACATCTGTTTTTTCTGTTTTCTGTATTATATAGTGTGTGTGTTTTCTGTTTTCTGTATTATATAGTGTCTATGTTTTCTGTTTTCTGTATTATATAATATCTGTGTTTTCTGTTTTCTGTATTATACAGTGTCTGTGTTTTCTGTTTTCTGTATTATATAGTGCTTATGTTTTCTGTATTATATAATATCTGTGTTTTCTGGTTTCTGTATTATATAGTGTCTGTGTTTTCTGCTTTCTGTATTATATAATATCTGTGTTTTCTGTTTTCTGTATTATACAATATCTGTGACGGATTTCTTGTTATAATCAAAATGTTTTGGCTGTAGTGCGCCCCGCAAAATACACTTCAAATATTCAATATATTCAGGGTGATCCGAAAATACTATCATGACTATGTAATAAAATTTTATTCTTCAGATGTATGACTCGAAAATGATGGTGTTTGTTATACAAGAATAAAATGTCGCTGCCGACACTGTAGTTTGAACATAGATCGCAAGTGAGCAAAAACAGGCGATCACATTTTGAATAAATAGATCACGTGATAGTAAAGGAAATATATATATATGTGAATTAACGTGACGTCTCAACTATTTTCATTTCTACTCTATCCTCTTTTAATATACGGATCGCTATGCTCTATACTATTCACTATAGTATTTCTCTATACTGATCACTATTTGGATTACTATTTTGATTACTATTTGGTGGTTACTGTTTGAGTGGCTAATATCGAGCAAGTACTATTAGTGTGAGTGCTATTCGAAGGCGTCTGACACCAGTATTGTTCAATGGCGTTAGTAGAGTTGTATCTGCGATTACAAAATCTCTTCTACAACGAGAATTACTAAAGTGACAACGATTATTCTTTGACATCACAAAAGTGGCAACGAGTGTCCGTTGACATCACATAAGTGTTCATATAGACATTTTCGATGTGTGACAATGTCATTGAAAGAGAATAAACTGAATCTAGTATATATATGCTTTTTACTACTATATTTGCTTGTTGTTCTCATTACCTTTTGGTAATGGGTGAGAACACTTTCGGACCACCTTGTAATCACTGACTTTCAAATAATCAGTCAAGTATAAGTATTTTGTGGGGTAGAAAAAAATCACTCATATTATGTTTATTCCAACACCCTTTAAAATGAAATATTCAGAAATGCCCACGTATCATTTAATTTCAACTGAGAGCATTGTAATACAAAACACTATTGATTTTATTTTTAAATTACGAAAATACTAATCACCCCTTATATCTGAAACTTAACTGTATGTCTAGGGGAAACTAACTGTTGGGGCGCACCCACCTTCTAACTAGAAATGGACTGGTCCCTCTTATATAAGTCAGCTCTAGAGAGAGGACGAGAGAGCGAGTGAGAGAGCGTCAGCAGTCCAGATAAGCTTACCCGTTACATACCGTTGGACTTTGGATATTGTTTCGTACTAACCAACCCTCGTTCTACTAATCACTCTATTGTTAATTGCTTTTACAAATATACCAGTATTTTCCTCTACAACTGTGTTTGTCTTGATTCATACACCGACGCGCGGGAAACTCACAACATCTCAGCACTAACAAAAATAAACGCAAGACGTATTGTAGAAATTGGCGTGGCGACATAGAAACAGCATAATGCAGAGTATACCTACATTTGACTAGGTAAAAAGCACCAAAATGCAATAAACAGAGGTAAACCAAGAGTGAAAAATGTAGAGGATATTTGTATGCAAAATCTTCGATTTGACAACGAAGTAATTTGCAATAGGGAGCTAAATACATTAACTATTAATAGAGGCTATAAATTTTTGACCAAGTTCTAAGTTACAGCAATAAGAAATGTTTACGATTTTTCTGTAAGCCATCAATGGACGCTAAATGGCACCAAGTCTGAATCATGTGACATATACTTGTTCTAAGATTTATATGAGGCGAATCTTGAAGATATTTCTATTAATCATTTCGCCCCAAGCAAGACGTAAACGCCACGAAGACGCAATGGGTTGCTGGGATGGGTAGTGAATGAGAGAAAGGACATGAAAAAAAAAACAGTTT